TATATATATATATAGTGTAATAAAGAATTGATTTTAAAGTTTGTTTTTTGTTTTTTTGAGACAGGATCTCACCATGTAGTTCAAGTTGGCCTTACAGCTTTGAGTTCAGCTGGGATGTAATCCCAGGGCTCAAGGTGTCCTTTTCAAGTTCTAGTAGTCATCCTAATTACAAAGTGCTAAACATGTACAGTTCCTTAGCACAACATTCCTTAGTACTACAATTTGTAATACCTTTTGGGGGGGTGGTAGCGGGGATCGAACTCAGGACCTTGTGCTTGCGAGGCAGGCAGCAGAACCACTGAGCTAAATCCCCAGCCCTGTAATATCACTTTTATGCTCTACTCTATTATTATTATTATTATTATTATTATTTTATTTTTTGTGTAATGCCATTTTTTAAAATTTAAATTGAGCTTTAGCTCTAGTACTTATTGGAGGACAAGAAACAAAGTCCTTTCTAACCTCATAATGGTAAAAAACTCTAATATTACTGCTGTGATTTCCTGATCCAAATATTCTTGGTAAATCAAGAAAAGGTACTCTTAGGGGCCCAGACATGTAGCTTAGTGGTGGAGAGTTTGCTTAGCATGTGTAAAAACCCTGGGTTTCATCCTGCAGTATGACCAAAGGGTGGCGGAGAAGAACCATATCTATCCTGAAAAGAACTTTATGGAGCCCGGAAGATAAATGACTTGTGTCCAACTTAATAGTTAAGCTGATGTAAACTTTTCTTGTTACAATTAATTGTAGGAGTTGTCACAAGCAGATTAGGAAGTGACTCATAATTGAACCACTCATTGTAGCTTAAGCCAGCATTTTAATATCAGTTCTCAAAAGCCATGCCAGAATTTAAAATGCTGTTCAGGTTGAGCTCTTTGTACTGTATATTTAAAAAAATCTGGTTTTTGTTTTGTTTCTTTAGTATTGGTTAGAGATGTTCTCTAGGGGAGGATCGGTGTTAAAGGTTTATTATTTTTCTAAAGTAAAATGCCAGTCATACAACTTGAGTTAACAACATTGACATTTGTTTACTAGTGTATATTGTCTCTTCCTACAAATGTGGTTTTTTTCTTTTTAATTCCTGCATGGCCTGAAGCAAATCTTTATTTCCCATTCATGAGTATTTATAACCTGTAAGATACTGTAGACTCTGGATGGATTTATTTTTTTTTTTGAGACAGGGTCTTAGTATGTACTTCAGAGTGGCCTTGAACTCACTGTGTATTGCAGGCTGTCTTCAAACACACCAGTCCTTCTGCTTCAGTCTCCCGACTGGGATTACAGGCATGTGTCACCACACCCAGCTGGGATTTATTTTTGAATGTGGGTAACTCATAATTGCTTCAACTTCTATTAGAGCTGACCGAAACACACAAGAATTCACAACCTTTTATTTTTGTCAAAACTAAAGATAAGTAGTGTAATTATGTAAAGAGTTTGTTGAAATAGCAGAGAATTCATCAGATTTATCCATAACTAAGCATTAATGTATGAATTGCTTATCATATATGATAACGTAAGTGAAAGAATACTTGAATAAATACATGAAAATTCTAAGAAAAAAATTTCCTAAGCAAATAAATTATGTCTAATGGTTTATATTTATGAATATGATCCCTTATAAAAGGATTTATATCATTTGTTCTGAGACTCATATACAATAGTGAAGACTAATACACAAAATGATATCAAGTAACGTATCTTTATATATCTCCCATTTAATTTTTTTTCCCAGTTTTTAAACTTTTATTGCAATCCATGTACTTTTGTTATTTACATTTTTGTTTTTATTAGTATGTGTTTGCAGTATGTAATGATTACATTCATCATGGGAAGTTGGTACATGTTCATACCACATCTTAATTCCTTTTACATCCCCTTCCCTACCCCTCCCTTCTTCCATTTTAATTTAAAAGTTACTTTTGTAAGTCCAGCTTCTAGCTAATGAACTCTGAAACCTTTTCTATGTCTTTCCACCTTTCATCTTTCTTTTTTTTTCTTATCATAAATGGTACAATATCTACCAACTATAAAATTTGAAGATTATATATAGTAGCAAATATGCAAAGAGGTCATCAAATGATAATATTTTAACATTATGTGTTCACTTTGGTTAAGATTCACACATTTTTACCTTGGTTTACAGTTTTGTTATCTTTTCTCCTAAGATCTCAGTGGATCTATAGCATCCCCAGATGTCAAATTAAACCTCGGTGGAGATTTTATCAAAGAATCTACAGCTACTACATTTCTGAGACAAAGAGGATATGGTTGGCTTTTGGAAGTTGAAGATGATGATCCTGAAGATCACAAGCCACTTTTGTATGTAAAAATAATACTTGTTTTTGGTTTTAAGGCATAGTCTGTGGGCTGTTTATATTCTTTTATGTAATTTAAAGTCAAATGTGGAAAGTCTCACCCTTTTTGGTCAAAGGCTATAGCACTTTTCGAATGTACTAGTAATTTAAAAAGCTAAAACAATGAAACTTTTATTTGTTATATGGCAACAAGTAAAAGAATGCTAATCTTATATTGTGTATACACACAACACACACACACACACAAGTATACTCCAAACTTCTTACCTGGGAGTATCTGCTATCTCAAGTAATCATGCAGTCTAAAACAAAAACAGGGCTTTCGGTTGCTTGTTGTTTAAATTCATGTTTAAACTAAGATTTCTTTAAAAATTTCCAAAACTCCTATATAGAAAGTCTACAGCTGCCTTTAGTACTTGCACCATAGGAAGACATCTACTTTCTCCATAGTTGTTCAATTTTGTAATTTTCATCTAAGGATAAAAGTAACACTTTGGAAAGAAGAAGCAACGTATAGCTTTGTAAAACTGAAGCTTTCTCAGGTTTGTCTTTGTAGTAATTATTGGTGTATTAAAAACTGAAACATTTTTCTTAATGTGAATATACTATATTTCATCAAGTTTAAGATGCTGTAGATTGTAAGATGAAGTTATTTATATAATAATTAAAAAGTACCTAAAATAGCATAAGGCTGGGACAGCCAAGAACTCTCTGAGGATGGGTAAATAATCTACCACACAGAAAAGACAGCAGTAAAGTTTGCATCAGTTTGACATTAGGGTGGGATGTTGAAAGAAAAAATTTTCCCTGAGAATATAAACCCCTCGCTATTCTAAAGTTTTATAGTCTGAATTAGCAGAATGGTCCCAAAAGTCTCACATAGACAGTTTAGTTTATGGTTGTGTTAAATAGATAGTGCCTCCAGGAGACTGGCAAAAGGAAAGTCAGCTCTTGGAAGCACTTGGCTTCACTCCAGGCTAACACAGTTGTATGACAGTAGCAACTGTGAGATGTATCCCAGCTTTAGAGATACTAAAATATTGAAATATCTCTCAAGTTGAGATAATTCACTTTGGACAGCGAATTATGATACTTCAAGTGCAAATGTTTTGTTAACCTGTGGATATCATACTGTCGTTATTTAAACTTAAACTTTTCATGCCAGTTGTGGTGGCACACACCTTTAATCCCAGCACTTGGGAGGCTGAGGTAGGACATCACAAGTTTGAGGCCAGCCTAGGCTACAGAGTGAGTTCAGTGCCAACCCAAACTGCATAGCAAGATGCTGTCTCAAAAAATAAATACATATACATACATACATACTTCTTTTGGGGGGTAGGGTGGGAGGTTGAGACAGGGTCTCATAATGTATCCCCTGCTGACTTCAGACTCACTGTGTATCTGAAACTGGCCTCAAATTCATGAATATCCTGTTTTAATCTCCTGTGAGCTGGGATTGTCAGCTTGCACCATCATGCCCAACTTAAACATTACTTAAATTCTTTTGTAACTCTCATAGTACCAGAATTGTGCACTTTTTGAGAATTTTTTTTAATTATAGGGAAGAATTGGATATCGATCTAAAGGATATTTACTACAAAATCCGATGTGTTTTGATGCCAATGCCATCGCTTGGTTTTAATAGACAAGTGGTGAGAGACAATCCTGACTTTTGGGGTCCTCTGGCTGTTGTTCTTTTCTTTTCTATGATATCACTATATGGACAATTTAGGGTAAGTATATCTTATTTTATATGAATTCTAAATCTTTAAGAACATCATATATTAAGTATAATTGTACTTTTCTTTGTTTGAGAAGTGCTTTGTCTTTGCCCATTTATATAAGTAACTTTTTGTTTCTTAATAAAGTATGCCATCCAAAGAAAAGGTTTATTTTGGCTTATGCTTTCATAGGTTTCAGTGTGGTTGGCTGACTCCAAGACAAATGGCTTGGCAAAAGGACCTGGCAGAGGAAAGGTAGAGAGCCCATGGCAGCCAGGAAGCAGAGAGAAAGAGATACCCCCAAAGGCTTACCTCAGAGACTCACATCCTCCAACCACGGCCCACCTCCTAAAAGCACATTTAGGATAAACCCACTGTTGAATATAGCACCCCCATGATTCAGTCACCTTCTGAACACATGAGACTTTGGGGGAACATTTTAGATCTAAACTGTAACACTATTATTTCTTACTAGTTCCATCCTAAAACTTCTGTAGTTAAAAAGGGGACATACCCTTAAATTAGTACTTTGCAAGATTTATTCTTGTCATTCACATAGAAAATAATAATATTTGTGCTACAATTAGGGTCAGTGGATGGGACTATTCTCAGCTAAGTGGAAGCAACCAATGACTAGAAGAGTTTGCCCTTTCCCTTATGTTTTCCTCAAAGATGGAATTTGAAATGTAATATGCAATACATAATTATGTTCCTATTTTTTATTTATTTTTAATTTTTTAAATCAGCAGCTTTTGCCCAGTATGGTGGAACATGCCTGTAATCATAGAACTCCAGAGGCTGAGGCAGAAGGATCACTGAGTGCAAGGCCAGCCTGAACTACTAGTGAGACCCTGTCTCAAAAAGCCAAGAGGAAGAAAAATTTAGCAGCTGTTTTTCTAATTGCTATCATCGAACCCAGATCATTGCAAATGCTAAGCACATGCTCTACTGTTAAGCTATGTTGTAGCCTCTAATTCTGTTTTTCTAAATGAACATGATTTTTAATAAATCATGCATGGCATAGATTCAGTAAAGATTTTGGTTTTTGTTTTGTTTTTGTATAGTAGCTCATCCAAGCCAGGGCCTTTACACTGAGCTACATCCCCAGTCATTTTTTATTTTTTGTTTTGAGACAGGATCCCACTAGGATTGCTAAATTACCCAGGCTGGGCTTGCACTTCTGATCCTCCTGTCTCAGCCTCTAAGAGTGCTGAATTACGGGAATGTGCCACTGCATCTACCTCCAGTATGTTTTTTTATATTATTACTGTTATTTTAATCACTTTGTCCTCCTCTCAAGGTCTTTACCATTCAAGCACATCACATAGGCCCGGCGTGGTGGTGCACGCCTGTAATTCCAGCACTCAGGAGGCTGAGGCAGGAGGATCGCTGTGAGTTCAAGACCAGCCTGGGCTACATAGTGAGTTCCAGGTCAGTCTCAACTACATAGTAAGACCCTGTCTCAAAAAACAAACGAACAAATGAACAAACAACAACACAGACACATCACTCATTTCCCACTTGTCTTTAGGGAAACGTATCTCTTTAGTGACTTGGAAGTGAATTAATTTTTTTTCTTTAATTACTTTTTCTTTTTTGTTTTGATTTGGTTTTTTGTTTGTTTTTTTTTGAGACAGGATCTCACTATGTAGTTGAGACTGACCTGGAACTCAGTGTGTAGCCCAGGCAGGTCTCGAACTCACAATGATTCTCCTGCCTCAGCCTCCCGAGTGCTGGGATTACAGGAGTGCACCACCATGCCCAGCTCTACTTTTACTTTTTTGTATTAGAAGTGAATTTCTTGTTATTGTAGCAAATTGCCACAGCTCACTTGATTTAAACAGCACTGGTGTATTCTTTTACAATTCTGGAAGTTGGAAGTCCACAATGAGTACTAAAGGGCTAGGATCAAAATGTCAGTAGGGAGTTGGGCTCAGTGGTGCACACCTGTAATCCCAGCACTTGGGAGGCTGAGGGAGGAGGATCACTGAGTTCAAGACCAGGCTGGGCTACATAGTGAGTTCCAGGTCAGTCTCAACTACATAGTGAGACCCTGTCTCCAAAAACAAAACAAAACAAAAATGTCAGTAGGGATGGTTGCTGTGGAGGTTCCAAAGAAGAATCTGTTGTTGCCTCTTGCATTTCCAGAAGCTGCCAGCATTTTTGACTCCTGGGTATATCACTACCATCAGTTTCCATGGTTGCATTGCCTTTTCCTTTACTCAAATCTTCCTCTGACTTTTGTTTTGTTTTGTTTTGTTTTGTTTTTTTTGTTTTTGGTACTGGGATTGAACATAGGTCCTTTTGCTTGTGAGGCAGGTGGAGGAACCACTGAGCTAAATCCCTGGCCCTCTCTGACTTCTTTTAAAGACTTGTTACTATGTTTAAGGTGCATCTGGATAAGCCATAGTCATCTCCACATTGCAGAGTCTTTAATTATTACAAAATCTTTATTATCACACTAATGCTATTAATATTTACCCAAATCAGTAGCTTATATCATAAATTCTGTTGAAGTAGTGTAAAGACCACTGAAGAAATTGAGTGGGGACTTAGATCTCCTATCTATCTCTTGTTCTTCATTTAGAACATCTCTATTTTATCGTTTTTGTGTAATCATTACTGAATAAAGGAATCTAAAGCTGAAACCCAAATGTTACTGTATCTTCATAGAATGTCACTCAGTTTGGATTGATGTAATGTTTTTCTCATGATTGGATTAGGGTTGTGCATTTTTGACAAGATAACCACAGAAAGGCCTGTGTCCTCTGTACTAACAGAGATCATGTGATACTGTTATCTTCTTATAGTTTTATTATATATTAACCTTGATCACGTGGTTAAGTGATCGGATATGTCTGTCCATATCCTCCACTACGAAATTGCACTATTTCTCTTCATAATTAATACCTTCTCCTGGGCATGGTGGTGTACACCTGCAGTCCCAGCACTTGGGAGGCTGAATTGGGAGGATCACCATGAGTTTGAGGCCAGATGGATTACCTTGTCTCAAAAAACCAAAAAAAAAAACCACAAAACAACAAAAACCTGGAGATATTTTGCGGTTATACAGAATTATACAATTAGGCAATACAAAATGTGTTTTTTTATTCTTTTGTCTACTAACTTTAGCATCCATTGATGGATCTCACATGTGGCAGTTTTGACTGGTGTTTATTTAATGGTGATTTTCCTGTTTCGTTCATCCCACTTTTTTTTTTTTTTTTTTTTTTTTTTTTTTTTTTTTTGGTAGTACTGGGTATTGAACTCAGGACCTGTGTGGCAGGCAGCGTACCATTGAGCTAAAGCCCTGGCCTTCATTCCACATTTATTAATAGGTGTTATCTAAGGAACAGCTATCCTTTTCTCCCATTACCTATTTAGTTACTGTATTTATATCAGTAGGGGCTGATGTTTTATTTATGAATGTTTTATTCTCCAGAATTATCATTGTTTTATTGCTTATATTGTTCCATCTTGAGCCATTGCATACTCTTTCAGGTGGCCTGCTGTGTCTTTTCAGCATATCCTTTTTTCTTTTTTCTTTTCTTTTTTTTTAGCACTTCCCTGCCCTCTGGCCTCACAAAGTGTTCTAGGCTAGTCTTTTATTTTCCCCTTCCCTTGCTCTCTTTTATTCCACCCCATCCTAGCTCTTGAAGGGACCATTTTGCCAAGGAATCTTAGTTCTTTTAATTGGGGAGTATTTAGAAACCAAGACCTGGGAAGTTTGTTTTTATTGCTAGTGGGGTGTTATTTCCAGACTGTCCTAAAAGACGATTTAAATCTATGCATATATCGTTAAACTAAGCCTGAGGAGTTAAAATTATTGAAATGTCTCCCATATTCTATTACTTGGATAAATATGTAATATAAATTTTAAAGATTTCTAGAAAAGACTGGCAAATAGTTTTGGATATGAATTTTCCTTTCAGGATACTATAAACCCATGATAGTGAACCTTTTAGAGCAGTGGTAGTGAACCTATGGCCTGTGCACCACAGTGGGTTGTCTGTTAATCATTGAAAGCTCTAAAAGCTTCACCATTACTGTTTTAGGGCTTTTAATGATACGGCCCAGCGCATGTGTCATAAACTTACCACCACTGCTGTAAATGAAGGGGTTATTAGTGAACACTTTTTTTAAAAACAATTATATTCCTTGAAATGCTGAGCTTTCCTTAAGACAAATGACCCTTGCTAAATATTTCATTTGATTGTAAAATTTTATTATATATCGTATTTGTTAGGGAATCGATCATGTTAAAGTATGCTGTGACGCCGCCTCACAGGCTGCATTCTCCTGGTACATCTTGGCTCCTAAAATGACCTCATGCCCTTATCTCTGGTTTCCCTCCCCCGTAAGGCCACAGTGGTCCAGGAAAGTTGAAACCTGTGTCTGCAGGACTGGGCCCATAAAAGCAATCTGGCCTGTGATAGGTTAAAAGTAACTCACTCCTCATAAATAAACAATAGCCCACCCCAAAACTGATAAAAGGACCTTCCTTTCTTTGTTCTCTCTCTCCTTCTGCTTCTTCTTCCTCCTCTCTCTCTCTCTCTCTCTCTCTCTCTCTCTGCCTTCCTGCCTCCTGCTCGCCTCCCTACAATGAAGATCTTCTGCCGGACCGCTCGGTGCGTGGGTGGCCTAATTGGGAAGGGGCACCCGAAAGGGCACGCGAACCCCCCTTTCAGTATTTTTACTAAGTTTTGGAAAGATACCTGAGAACTCATATAAAATCTGTATGACCTGGACTTGGGCATACCAAACTATTTTAAGTGGCAGAGAATTGAATTCTTGAAAAATTATCAGCTTGCTTTGTACAAAAATATTAACTACATCAATTTTTTTTTCCCTTTAAGGTGGTCTCATGGATCATAACCATTTGGATATTTGGCTCACTGACAATTTTTTTACTGGCCAGAGTTCTTGGAGGAGAAGTAAGTAGTTAATTTTGAGAATGTTCTTTTTTTTTTTTTTTTAATGATATACTTTACTTTTTTGGTGGGGGGTGTTCTACTGGGGATCGAACTCAGGACCTTGTGCTTCCGAGGCAGGCAGCAGCACCACTGAGCCAAATCCCTGGCCTGGTAAGCTTTACAAGAGATATCATCTTTAGGTGCACTTATTATAATAATTTCTTGTCTGCGATTTGCTTTTAACTTAAAGTAGTTCCCTCAGGATAATCAACATATTAGTATTACGATTACTCAGTAAATATTGCAAAGTTTGAAAAGGAAAGATCCCATTTTACTTATCAAATAACGTATAGGTTTTTGAGGAAGCATACAGTTTATTTTTTGCAGCAGTTCTCAAGTCATTAATCAGGTTCCTGTAAGGATTTCTTAATGTGGGTTGTATTTGTCCATATTAGATTTTAAAATAATTTACAATATATATTCATCTACGGCTATCTACATTTTAACATAAACAATACATTTTAAAGAAAAAAACTGTGCTTTTCCAAAACCAGACAAAAACGTTAGTGAGACGAGTAATACTATTTTATATTTTTTACAAGTAGCTTTAATGTCTGCTTTACTGGAAACTAAACACTAAGATCTAGTTTCTTGAGTTTTTTGTTTTGTTTTATTTTTGGTACCGGGGGATTGAACACATGTATTTGCAAGGCAGGCAGCAGAACCACAGCTAAATCCCCAGCCCCAAGATCTAGTTTCTTCATTCAGTTTGTCGTATTATTTAGGTCTAAGTATATTAAGAAAACAAAACTTCCTTTAGTTAAATAATTGGAAAAGTGACTTTGTTTTGTTGTTGTTGTTGCTCTCTTTCTTTTTTGACCATAGGGCTGGGGATTTAGCTCAGCAGTTCTGCCACCTGCCTTGGTATAGCAAGGACCGGAGTTCCATCCATGGTACCAAAAAAAAAAAAAAAAAAAAAAAAAAAAAAAAAAAAAATTCTCTCCCCCTGGCCCTAGGGATTGATTCCAGGAAGCACTGAGCTTTATTCCCATACCTTTTTACTTTTTTTGTTTTGAGGCAGGGTCTCACTCAGTTGCCCCAGATAGGCCCTCCAGGATTACAGGGATGTTCCATCACACCCAGCTGGAAAAGAGTATTTTAGTAGCTTTTTCAGATGTGGATACTCTTCTCTGATGCTATATCAAAATTCTACAATTAGTAGTTTTGTTTTATTTTTTTTTTTACTTTTATTACATGTTTAAGGTACATATATTCATTGCAGGTAGTCAGTTTATATGTACATGACACGTATAAATTCTTTTCACATGCCCTTGCTCTCCCCCTTCCCAACATCTTTGTTTTTAGACCGGAGATTGAACTCGGGACCTTGTGCTTGTGAAGAAGGCAGTGGAATCACTGAGCTAGATCCCCAGCACTCGGCATCTCTTAAATCTATTTCCCATTTGTGAGAGATCTATGTCCCTGTTTGCTATTTTCTGTCTTTTATTTTGCCCTTTATACTTTGGGTTTTTCATATAAGAAAAATACAATTTTAAGCTTATGTGACTGATTTATTTTACTTAACATTATGGACTCAAGGTGCATTAGTTTTTCTATAAATGACTTGAATTAATCATTTATAGCAGATTAGTACTCCACTGTGTTTAAATAACCACATTTTCTTTACCCATTCATTTGTTGATAAACATATGGGCTACTTCCAGTAGTTTCTTAAAAGATTTGTTGAAGTAAGAAATCTGAAACCATGTCAATGAATTTTTGACACTGTTTCATTAAATTTACTTTTTTTTTTTTTAATTAAATGTACTTTCAATGGCTGTTTTTAACCCAAGCATGATTTTGGTACATCATGTATTGGTGTTCTGGAAAATATTATTAGTTCTCTGAGTTTTGCAGCTATTTTAAATGTTGTCTTTTTAAAATTAATTAATTAATTTAAAGACAGTGCAGGGCTGGGCTTTTAGCTCAGTGGTTTGGTGGCCTGCCTTGCAAGCGCAAGGACCCGAGTTCAATCCCTGGTACCAAAAAAAAAAAAAGATCTTAAAGACAGTGCATTGTTATTGCTATGTACACCCAGCTGACCTCAAACCTATGGTGATCCTCCTGCCTCCGCCTCCTCAGAGCTGGGATTACAGGCATGTGCCGTCACACCTGGCTAAATATTGATATTTAATTATATAATATTAAAAGTTCACATTGGGCCAGGGATTTAGCTCAGTGGTACCGCACCTGCCTTGCAAGCGCAATGTCCTGAGTTCAATCCCTGGTACCAAAAAAGGTCACATTAATATCACTTACTGGCCGGGCGTGGTGGTGCACGCCTGTAATCCCAGCACTTGGGAGGCTGAGGCAGGAGGATCGCTATGAGTTCGAGACCAGCCTGAGCTACATAGTGAGTTCCAGGTCAGTCTCACTACATAGTGAGGCCCTGTCTCAAAAAACCAAAAACAAAACAAAACAACAAAAAAAATCACTTACCTCATCAGAAAAGACTATATTAGAAAAATTATATAAGTGGATACTTGTTTTTTAGTTCTAAATTTTGCTGGAAATTAAAATTTTATCATTTGCAATAAATCCTATGAATCATTTTTATTTTTTTTCTTTTATTGAGTTTATTGGTACATTTTTAGGTATACAGTACAGTTACATTCATTATTGGGATCTTGTACCTTTACATGACAGGTAGCCGTGGTTCTCTTTTTTTTCCCATTGTCCCTTGAATCATTTTTATTGAAGCAACAAACTCACCTTATTTAAGAACATGCTTGCCATACCTAAGTCTGAATAACTGTAATTTATCAGTTTTTCTTAAAAGTAAAATTGATGTTCTATAGAAAATGCATCTAATTCAACTCTTCACTCAGTCACACATTTTATTCCTTGGATAATTACTGCATTACCATACAGCAGAATATTTTTAAAATTCTGAGGTTGATATTTAATAAAATTGATCATTTTTAGTATATAACCACCACCTCCACCCCCATACTGGAAATTGAACTCAGGGTCTCACAAATGCTGAGTAAGCCCTGTACCGCTAAGCTATACCCCTCACATGCTTTTTTGTGGGTGAGACAGAGTCTTCACTAAGTTGTCCACCTGGGGTTCAACTTTGATCCTCTTGCTTCACCTTCCCAGAGTGCTGGGGTCACAGGTGTACATTTCCATGCCCACCCTTTTTATTATAATTTTATTTTTATACATTTTCTTTCCAATTTCCCCATTCTATCCTCAGACTTGCAATCCTCCCATCCAATCATCAGCCTCTTAACTAGCTGGGATTACAGGCAAGCACCAACATGCCCACCTCCATTTTTACTACATTCATACATAAAAACTGGCTGTTTTTCTGTAAGAATATAGTAGTAAAGAACATAATTATAAATAGCTATTAATAAAATTTGTAGCACCTTCATTTCTGCTAAGGCAACAGCAAATTTACTCAACATTGTTTGTGTCCTCTTACTGCCAATATCAAAACAATGAAAAAGGCAAATAATGTTTTGTTAGTATTATTTAAAAAATAGTTTTGACTTTACTGCCTTCTGCAAAAGTCTCTAGGATTCCCAGGGGTCCACAGGCCACATTGAAAGCCACTGCTATATTTAATATGTGACTTTATGAATTAATGTAACTTAGGAATTCTAACAGTTTATTCTGTGGAGAGAGAATAAAACAGAAGTTGCCAAAAGAGAGTTAGAATATGTGTCCTGGTTCATATCAGGCTGATACTATGAATAGCAAATGCTAAATCCAGAAGAAACCTTGAGCCCTCTTATGCTTGGTAATGAGATCCTCCTCTAGTTCATATTCTTCCAAGTTTATTACTTACCTCTAGTGCAGCTTTTTAGCTTCCAAGATAATGTTACCGTTGTCTTAGTTCCTATTCACTTTTTTGTTCTTCTTATTAAAAGGAATCTTTTTCCCTTCCCTTTTATTGAAATTTTAGAAGGGAATATATAATTAGTGTGTGTATATGCATATACTCTCTCTCTCTCTCTCTCTCTCTCTCTCACACACACACACACACACACACACACACACACACATAAATGTATGTGCTCCAAAGAGCCTAAGACTAAAGTAGTATCTCTGAAACTTTCTGTATTAAAAACACTTAAAATTATATTTGTTTATGTATTGTTTTATATCCTAGACAAACAGTATATTTATATGAAAATAGATTTCATTAAATTAATTTTTATAATTTAGAATTTCAATTTAGGAGTGAAAGTTTATTTGAACTTCTTGAACAAAGCATTTAGTCTCACTGTGAATCACTCATAATCACAGTAATGCCTACTTCATAAGGTTGTTACTTCAGTTGATCTTTACAGCATTGAAGCTCTGTCTCACAACTTGGAGCAGAGAGTCACTAAAAATAGTTTTCTCAGTCTGTTCTGGATGCCCTCCCTTCCCTCTGTATTTATGCTGCTGAAGCAAACACCCCTCACTCCTCCCCTCTGGACTGCATTTGCTACATTTAGCTTTTTTGGACCTTAGGGTTTTTTTTCTTTTTAATTTGAACAGAATGATTGTGGTCCTTTTAAATCTACAATTTAGAGAAAATAGTGAAAAAGTATAATGTAGGATATACTTAAAGGTGATAAGATATACAGTCCTGAAGTTCAAGACAGATAGGGCTAGAAATTTAGACTTGGGTGTCATCAGGAAACTGACCCTAATAGCAACCATGATGGATAGTGAGAGGGCCTGGAAACATTGCAGACTACTGTGTATCATAATTTGTAGTACAGTGGAACTTGATACTTTATGACTCCTTAATTATTACACTCATGTAAGTACAACAAAGAATATGTGATATTTAATGGTGAATAAAATGAATTTCTTGGTTTCTATGATACTTATTTAAATTTTTGAAAATTGACAGGTTGCCTATGGCCAAGTTCTTGGAGTTATAGGATATTCATTACTTCCTCTCATTGTAATAGCCCCTATACTTCTGGTGGTTGGATCGTTTGAAGTGGTATCTACACTTATAAAAGTAAGTTATGTGATAGGAATTATTTAAGTAGTTTACTGTTTTCCAGTAGCAAAAAATATACTAGGCTTGTGGCTAAGAATATTGTAATTTAAAACTGTTTATCAGGCAGTGGCTAGTATTTCGGAACAGAGACAGACCTTCCTTACTGAGTTTACCAATGCAATATATTTTTTTCCTTTAATCACCAGAAATTATGAAATATGTCTGCAAGGAAAAACAAAAAAGCAAATTGAATTTCAGGATATATTACGGTCAAGGTTTTTTTTTTTTTTTTTTGTACGGGGGATCAAACTCGGGTCCTTGCACTTGTAAGACAGGCAGTGGAACCAGAGCTAAATCCCCAGCATGGTTAAGTTTTATAATACTGAATTTATCATATTTGTAATATGAGTTCATCTGACTTGGATTTTGAAGGGAATATTTAAAATTTCACTGTACTTTTTTTTTTTGGTACCAGGGATTGTACTTGGGTCCTTGAGCTTGCAAGGCAGGCAGCGGAACCACCACTGAGCTAAATCCCAGCCACTGTACATTTTTTTAAAAATTATTTATTTATTTATTTTTCTTTTAAATTGAATTTATTGGTACATTCTAGGTGTACAGTACAGTTACATTCATTATTGGTATCTTGTACTTGAACCAAGACATGCCAGGTCTTGGTTCCCATTTTTTCCCCTTGTTCCCACCCTCCCTTCACCCTTTCCTCCCCTCCCTACCTTCAAACACTTTAATTCCATTTTTACATTTTCTCATATTTTTTTCCTTTTCCCTTGTTCCCCTTTCCCTATCTTTCTCACTGTCCCTACACCTTTGGTCCTTTTCTTCCTATTTCACATTGCAAATTCACTGTACATTTTTAATAACTTAATTTTATTTGAATATTAGCTCTGTCAAACATGGTAGACATGATTCTAATCAATTTGATTTTCTATAATGCAGATGCTAAGATAAATTAACATGTATGTTTTAAACATTTACTGATAATAGTAAATATTAATAAATAATAACAATTTTAAGTTTTATGTTTATTAGTATTGAAGATACCTGCTCTGGCATATTATAAATACACACATAAACATACACACATAATCATGGCAAATCTTTTTTTTTTTTTTTGAGACAGGGTCTCACTTTGTAGTTGAGACTGACCTGGAACTTACTATGTAGCCTGGGCTGGTCTCAAACTCACAGCAATTCTCCTGCCTCAGCCTCCCGAGTGCTGGAATTACAGGCATGTGCCACCACACCTGGCTTGGTTTTTTTTATTTTTTATTTTTTTGGTACCGAGGATTGAACTTTGGACCTTGCACATGTGAGGCAGGTGGCGGAACCACTGGGCTAAATTCCTGGCCCTTATATGTTTTTTGTTTTGTTTTGTTTTGTTTTTTTGAGAGGGTTTCACTATGTAGTTGAGACTGACCTAGAACTCATTATTTAGGGGAATAGAACTTTTTAAGGCTACTACTTTTTAAACTGTGTTTTTTTTGGAGTGTTGTTGTCCACAGGGTCTTGTTATGTACTTCAGGCCAGCCTTGAACTCAAGGCAGTCCTCCTACTTCAGCTTCCCGAGTGCTAGGACTATAGGCATGCACCACTGCACCCGGCTTAGAACTGTTATTACATAGTATCCACACTAAAGTGTTTTTAAATCATCAGAGCCGCCTAATATTAATGAGATTTGATTTTATTCAAAGTTCATTAGCAAATTCCAGTATGAAAGAAATAATGATTTCTTTTATAATTTGGAAACTATACGCTAATACTGCTATATAAGCATTGGATATTTAAAAAGTGTGAGTTTTGCAATTGGTCCGTTCTGAATTCAGATCCTGGCTCTGCCCCTTCTTTTCATCTGGCCTCTTGGAGGTATCTTAACTTTTCTTGCCCTGAATTTATTCTTAATAATAGCAATCTTAACAACTTGTTTTTTAAGGGTTTGTTACAAAGATTTGAAGTAGATGCTCAGGTGGAAGCTGCTGTTATTACAAATATAAAGGATTATTTTGAGGTCATCTCTGCTTGTACTGTTTAAACAGTTGAGAGACCAGGAAGATGTTGCTTTTTATCCTAAAAAAAATTTTTGTGGTCCTACAGATTGAACATGGCACCAAGCACATGTTAGACAAGTGCTTTTCCACTGAGCTATATCTCCAGCCCAAACCTTTTCCTTTTAATTAGCATTTTTAAAACTTAGTTTTAAAGTCTTACAGAGCAGCAGCAGCTAACCTCATGCTGCTGTTTTATTCTAGCCTTGGTGGGTGTGCCACTTTACTGGATGATTTAGAATTACTCTCTGCTGTGTTGCTTTACCTGGGTTAAATTTGCTTGAATATTTCTGAAACTATGCGTAGAATTTTTTAAAACTGTTGTCTTCTAGTCATTTTTAGTCACAGAGCTCAAATGAAAGTCAGTTCTAGGCCAAAGATTTAGCTCAGTATTTCTGCCACCTGCCTTGTAAACTCAAGGTCCCGGATTTGATTCCCGGTACCAAAAAAAGTCAGTTCTTGATCTTTACATAACATATGAATATTATGACACAATAGAAAATATTTTTCTATCGAGAAAATTTACGGTAAAATTGGGTTTTTAAAAATTAGTTTTAGAGGCCAGAGATTTAGCTCAGTGGTGCTGGCACTGCCTCGAAAGCACAAGGACCTGAGTCGATCCCTGGTACCAAAAAAAGAAAAAGTTTTAGAACCAGGCGCACCTATAATCTTAGCACTTGTGAGGCTGAGGTGGGAGGATCACAGTGAGTTTGAGGCCACCCTGTGCTACATAGTAAAATGAGATTGAGGTCAGCCTGAATTATTTAGCAAGACTCTGTCTCAAAAAGACAAAATCAGGACTGGGGATTTAGCTCAGTGGCACTGTGTCTGCCTTGCAAGCACATGGTCCTGAGTTAAATCCTTGGTACTGGGGCAGGGCAGTGTGGGGGGACAACAAAACAAAAAAAATGATCATTTAATCTTCATCGGATAACAAGTTATATATGCTTCTGATTTCAGTCCAAAATTTGTTGAGAAGTATGTTCCAAAATGCTCATCAGTTAACTCTTAGCATTACAGAATTACAACCATTTGTAACAACAAAAAAAGTAATTATGATATACAAATGTGGTCATAATTTTATTTTGTATATTTCCTTATACTTTGCTGTATTCCTCAATTGTTTTATTCTTTTTTTTGTACCGGGGATCAAATTTAGGTCCTTGCCCTTGCAAAGCAGGCAGCAGAACCACTGAGCTAAATCCCCAACCCTATTGTTTTATTCTTTTCTTTTTGTACCATACTGGGGATTGAACCCAGAGAGCATTGACCTATATCCCTAGCCTTTTTTATTTATTTACTTACTTATTTTTAGTTAGGGTTCTGTTTGTTTCTTGTTTCAATACCGTAATAGAGATTAAATCCAAGAACTCACACATGCCAGGTAAGCACTCTGCCATTGAGGTACATCCCAGCCTTTTATTTTTAGTTTGTGACAAGCTCTCACTTAAGTTACCCAGGCTTTCCTCTAACTTGAGATATTGCCTCAGTCTCCCCAGTCCTTGGGATTACAGATGTGTTCCACTAGGCCTGTCTGCTGCTGCTGCCTCTTCTCTTCTACCTCTTCCTCCTTTTCCTCCTCCTGTCTGTTAGGGAATTGATCGTGTTAAAGTATGCTGTGATGCCGCCATCACAGGCTGCATTTTCCTGGTGCTTCTTGGCTCTTAGAATGACTTCATGCTCTTATCTTTACTTTCCCTCCCACCAAGGCCACAGTGGTCCAGAGAAGTTGAAAGCTGTTTCTGCAGGGCTGCACCCATAAAAAGCAACCTGGCCTGTGATAGGTTAAAAGTATCCCACTCCTCATGAATAAGCAATAGCCCAGCCCAAAACCGATAAAAGGACCTTGCTTTCTTTGTTCTCGTCTTCTCTTCTCTTCCTCTCTTCTTCCTCTCTCTCTCTCTCTCTTCTCTCTCTCTCTCTCTCTCTCTCTCTCTCTCTCTCTCTGTCTCTCTCTCTCTGCTCCCACCCCTTGAATAAAATCTCCAGTCAGACTTCTCGGTGTGTGTATGTGTGTCCTACTTGTTGAGCGTCACTATTCCCTTTCACTGTCCCTTCTCTTCTATCCCTCCTCTTCCTCCTCATCTTCCTTTTCTTTTTCTTTTCCTCCTTTGGCACTATTGGGGTTTGAATTCAGGGACTTCTTACTACGCTACATTCCCAACCCTTTTTTATTTTGAGATAGGGTTTCACTAAGTCTCAGAATTTTTGTTTGGTTTTTTTTGAGACAGTGTCTCAATGTGTAGTTCAGCCTGGTCGTGAAATCACTAGTATATGATCCTGTCTGTCCTCAGACTCATAGCAATCCTCTGGCTTTGGCCTCTCAAGTCCTGGGATTACAGCACTATCATGCCCAGAAAAAATTTTAGTTATAAAAAGGAATAGAGTTGCAGCTTAGCATTTCCTAGGTTCAAACCCCAATATGGGGAGAAGGGGTTTGTTTCACATACTCACTGGGAACCCTTTTTTTTGTGTGTGTAGTACTGAGGGATTGAACTCGGGTCCTTGTGCTTGCGAGGCAGGTGCCAGAACCACTGAGCTAAATCCCCAGTCCCACTGGGAACACTTTTGAAAAGCCTGATAACTAGATCCTCCTCTCAGGAATTCAAATTCAGCAGAACTAAAGCAAATACCCCAAGTTTCTTTTAATAGGTATCCCAGGTGATTTTTATGATTAAATAGGTTTGGCTTTTTTGTTTGTTTTTGTTTTGTGTGGTGTTTTGTTTTTTTGATTTTTGGGGAGTTTTTTTGGTACTGGCGATCGAACTTGGATCCTCATGCTTGCGAGGCAGGTGGCAGAACCACTGAGCTAAATCCCCGACCATGCTTTTGTTTTTCTTGTTTTGGAGTTTTTTTGTTTTGTGTTTTGGTTTTTTGTTTGTGGGGTTTTTTGTTTTTTTTTTTTTTTTTTTTTTTTTTTTTGGTACCAGGGATTGAACTTGGGTCCTTGTGCTGCTTGCGAGGCAGGTGGCAGAACCACTGAGCTAAATCCCCGGCCCACTGTATATTTTGAGAGAAAGGGTTTCGCTATGTAGTTCAGCCTGGCCTTGAACTCAGTGTGTAGTCCAGGCAGGCTTCTAACTTGTGGTGATTCTCCTTTCTCAGCCTCCTGAGTATTGTTACAGGGGTGTACCACCACACCTGGGAGGTTTGACTTTATAAAGGTCACATTCACAGAAGTTAAGGAACAGAGTAAGAATGAACACGTTTTTAACATTCTTAGTAAGTTTTATTCCTTACCACAGTTGGTGGTTGATTTTTTAAAATATTGTAAACATGATTTTTATTCTTTGATATCCAAAAGTTGATTTGCTAATATGCTGCCTTTTGTCTTTTTTTTTTCTTCCTTAAGCTGTTTGGTGTGTTTTGGGCTGCCTACAGCGCTGCTTCATTGTTAGTGGGTGAAGAATTCAAGACCAAAAAGCCGCTCCTGATTTATCCAATCTTTTTATTATACATCTATTTTTTGTCCTTATATACTGGGGTGTGATCCAAGTCATACATGAGTAGAAAAAGACAATGTTACCTTTGATTTGGGCTGGGAATTGCTGAAGGGATTGGAGGAAACATGGTTGGTAAAGTTTTACATATTTCAGATGTAAAGGCAGGTTGAAGGTCTTTTTTAAACAATATTTTTTGTATTTAATTAAGCAATTGCAATTATCTGGGATTTTTTAGTCAGAATTCTGAATTCTGTTTAATTCTTCATATTCTGGTGAATAAAATATAAAAGCATTGTGTTTTTAAGATTGTGTCAGTGTTCACCTAAAAACTTGTGCCAAAAGCACCGGGATTGGTTATATTTCACTTGAAGGGTAAATTTGACAACATCCTGATAGTCTAAAAGTGCAATTTTTTTCTTTAAAGAATTTACTCCTGCATTGCAGATCCTGTAGATAAATATTTATATTTATACATATATATATTTATGAAGTAATTATTATTCACACTATATATTTCTGAATAATCTAAAAAATAAGATATTAAACCTGATGCTTAAACTTCCTTTAATTTGGCCATTAATCTTTTATTTTAAAAAATTAAATGTTTTAAGTTGTATTTTTAAAATTAGAGTTGCTGATATAGATTTAGTTTGTGTTGGTGTGCTTTTGAAAACCAGTTTTAGATGTCTACGAGTCTGATTTAAACGTTCAGTTTATCTTTTTGACCAAGGGACCAAGAGATATAGATATAAAAGATATGGCATTCATTAAAATCATTAATGTGGAGAAAAACAATAATAATTGTAGCATTAGTAAATATTTTAAGTGGTACTTCCACATTAGAAGTTATGGGAAAAAGACAAACCTTGTGGTCCTAAGCAATGTTATATGAAGTAGAAAACAATAAAATGTTTTCCAGCTGTGTGTTTTGTTTTATAACACCTTGTCCTGTATTACTTGACATTTTAACAAGTGTCAGGCACTCACTAATGTATAATTTTTGCTAAATACTAAGAAATTTTTATTGGTGAAATATTTTGTAAGTCATAGATTCTGCATATACTTATAATTAATATTACTTTGTAGGGCCGGGGATTTAGCTCAGCTGTTCGGTGGCCTGCCTTGCAAGCACAAGGACCCGAGTTCAATCTCCGGTAACAAAAAAAAAAAAAAAAAATTGCTTTGTAAAGCAGATAAAAATATTTTGTGCTGGAGTATAGCTTGGTGGTAGAGCATTTGCCTGGCATACTCAAGACCCTGGATTCAATCCCCTGCACTGAGAAAAAAAGTATTATCTTTTCTGATCCTACCTGGAAGGGGTTTAACTGCTGTTCTTAATATGATAACATGGTCATCTCTTGATATGTGTAACATGGTCCTCTTTGATATGTGCTCCATCAGGAATATATTCAGCACCTTTGAACCAAGCCAGCAGATTTAAAAAATATCAAATCCAGGTGTTTTCCTTTCCCATGCATCCCAAATATAGAAAGAAAAGCTTACTGTATTTATGTTTCTCTCATAGAGATTGAAACCACGGCCATACACTAGCTAGGCAACTATTCCACTGAGCTACTCCCCTACCCCTAAAATGCTTATTTTAAACTACAGGAAAAATTCCAGCACTTTTGTGCTAGAATACAGAAAATTACATATGCTAACTTTTTTTTTTTGTACTGGGATCTAACTCCGGTCCTTGTGTTTTTGAGGCAGGTGGCAGCACCAGTGAGCTAAATCCCCAGCCCTACATATACTAACTTTTAAAAGCAGGCTTTGGTAAATAAAGCACCAGTGATATAAAACTTCTAGAGTAGTAGGGAAGGATCTATGCCTACAGAATCAGCAACTGTGAGATAAACACTTGTCGGGCCAGTGATTTAGCTCACTGGTTCTGCTACCTGCCTCAAAAGCACAAGGTCCTGAGTTTGATCCCCGATACCAAAAAAGATAAACATTTGTCACACTTCAAAATTCCTCTTTTCAATCCGTTGTTACACTGTATTATTTGGTGTCCATGGCTTTAACTGGAATGTTCCTGACAAAGTTTAGAGGTCAGGACCAGGTCATGGAACTTCACTAAGTGACAAATCAAGGCCTTTTCCTACTACCTCTATCAAAAAGGTTTAACTTTTTAAACTATCATTGCTTTTATTTATTTTATTTTTTTTTATTTATTTATTTTTTTTTTGGTACCTGGGATTGAACTTTGGTCCCTGTGCTTGCAAGGCAGGTGGCAGCACCACTGAGCTATCCCGGGCCCCCTTATCATTGCTTTTAGATGTACATAAAATATTCAGTTATGTGGTTCACATTTATTCCTAGTGTTATAGGACAGTGATGGTGAAATTTCTCGAGCTTTCATTGATACAGACAGCCTGCTGCAGCATACATATCATAGGTTTGCCACCACTGATACAGGATAAAATGAAATACTTGCTAAAGGGGGTATTTTAAAATAATAGCATTTAATCCTGACAACTATTTTATACACACACACACACACACACACACACACACACATATTTTCTTTTTTTTTTTTTTTTGGTACTGGGAATCATACTCGGGACCTTCCACTTGCAAGGCAGGCAGCGGTACCACCAAGCTAAATCCCTGACCCTTTTAATAGTAAATATAATTTATAATGTTTTCAGGTCAGTGAGTGTCATCTTCACGTGCTAAAATGAAAAGTAGAACAGGTTGTCACTTTAAAAACATGATCGTAGATGTGTGCAGGATTCAGTGCTGGCTGCTATACTGTTTTTTGTTGTTGTTTTTGGTTTTTTGAGACAGATGTCTCACTATGTAGTTGAGACTGATCTGGAACTCACTATGTAGCCCAGGCTGGTCTTGAAAACACAGCAATCCTCCTGCCTCAGCCTCCCAAGTGCTGGGATTACAGGCGTGTGCCACCATGCCCAGCTATACTGTATTTGTAAGACTTCCCATCACTGGGTCCAAACTACCTAACACTTAACAATTTAGGAGAGGTTTAATTTGGCTAAGGGTCTCAGAGGTTTCAGTCCATGGCTGACTGGCTTTAAGACAGGAACATCATGGCATCAGAGAAGCAGAGCAGGGGAATAACACCAGAGACAAAATTGAGTACCCAAAGTCATGCCTCCGTAACCCACACACACACACCCAGAAGAGGGCTTTATTATCTTTTCGACAGCTCCCAAGCCAATCAAGTTGATAATACAATTTGTCATCTATTCCAAAACAGTAAATGGACCAAAAAAATGTACTATCCTTGAATTTTTTGAAATAATATTTTCTAAGTTGTACTGATTTTAAATCATGACTTCCAATCTAATAGTATTTTCTAGACAGAATTAGCCAGATATCTGTATAACCTTTGTCTCTGCTGTGTGTGTGTGTGTGTGTGTGTGTGTGTGTGTGCTTGATGAATGCTTCAAAAAAGAATTATGAGACATGTTTACTTCTGTTTCAAATTTTTTATAAAATAAGTAGACTTTTGATTAAAAATCATAGTGTATATATATTCAAATTTTGTGTTAAAAATACGTTAGTAAGATCTGTAATGTTTTGTGATCTATGATAAATTGCTTATTTCTAGGGCCTGTAAGGCAGTTTTATATATAATGTATCCATGTCCAAAAACTGACTCCAAATTAATATCTTAATCTAAGAGCCTGAATTTAATGAACACTTGCATCAATTTAAAATGCAAAGTAGATATTTTTGCTTAAATATTGTTTAATCAGTTATTTTCAGTTTTTTGATGTATTAAAACATGGTATAAAATAATGCTTATATAACCCAATAATTTTTTTTTCATGTTCAACAAAACTAGTTAACTATTTTAAATGATCATTATTTATTTTGTTTTGTTTTTGTTTTTTTGGGTACCGCAGATCGAACTCGGGTCCTTGTGCTTGTGAGGCAGGCAGTGGAACCACTGAGCTAAAAATCCCCAGCCCTATATGTTATATTTTTGTTGGTGCACATTTTGGTAGTTTTAGGCCCTAGGGAATGTGCAACTTTTGCTTTTCACATCTTACATCTATACGATTCTTTATGATTGTGTGACAGGGCTATCTGAAATACATCTTAATAGAGCTAAAAATCACCCTCAGCAATTCTCTGCACAGACAATTTAGTTATATAATTTCTAGTAGCATTTTGCGTGTTTTAAGACTTGTTGACACTTGAGTATATTCCTAAATGATTTTTTTATATAAAAAAGTTATAAATTCTTACATCTTCACATTCCAAATTTTAATATTTTCTGAATAATTGTTATAAAATATTTTCTTTATAATGTATTGGTATAAATTTTAGACCCTGCTGTTCTCTGTGGTATACATGTTATGAAAAAAATACAATATTTCTTGTACATGGTATATTTTATTAAATATGAAACAGTTCGATTTCTCTTGAAATTGTTATGCTGAGGTTGCTGTTATGCTGAGGTTGCTATTTATTTGGACATTAGCTTGAAAAAATGTAGGGAGGATTTTAAGGCAGTAGTGAAGTAATTTCCTACTTTTACATTTTGTATTGCTGTTTTTAACATTTCTGTGTTCAGCAATTACAGGTTTTTTACTTTAAAAATATTTGCTTTATAGTTTATAAGTACTTGGAAAAATTTCTAAACATTTCTTCCAAATAATTTAGTAGTATACTAATGCTCTCAGATTATTTTGTTATTCATATTCATATGAAAAAGAATATTTTATGAAAGATTTTGAATTTAACTTTAATTATTAGTACATGCTATGAATACTTAGGAAAACGAAAACAAAACATTTCTACCTGTAATATTTTTGTTAAACTAATACTTGAGTATGTTAAGTTTATCAAGAACAAAAACTTGGGTCGGGGATTTAGCTCAGTGGTTCTGCCATCTGTCTCCCAAGTGCAAGGTCCTGAGTTTGATCCCCGGTAGCAAAAAATAAAAAGCAAACAAAAGCTGGTCTTTCTATAATATTTGGTACTGAGCAGTTTTTAGTAATTACAAAGAAAGCTTCCCCCCAAAAGCTTACCAAGGTGTTTGCACAACATGAACTAAAAGTATATGAAATGAATGATTATGACGAGAAATTGTCATCTGGTAAAAGGATAAAATGATAATATAGCCAGGTATGATGAGGCATGCCTGTAATCCTAGCGCTTGGGAGGCTGAGGCAAGAGAATCATCATGAGTTCCAGGATATCTTGAACTACATAGCAATACCGTCTCAAAAAACAAAACAAAACATAAAAGTGGATTGCTGCTTTTTACATAATGAGCGTTTGTTGTAGGATAAATTATTGAAATTGTATATTTTTCATCTATTTTATAATATTCTTGCTTTTATGGAATTAATTCATTGTCTATGCAAAGTACCTCTTAAATAGCATTATTTGATCATACGCACAATTGCCTCTTTGATCATTATAGTCTCTGCCTGGAGAGCAGTAAAAATACTCATTTGTGATTAGCCCAGGTACTGAGTCCCTCATAGTCAATGTTTCATGCCAAATTGAACTTAAACAAATCTTTAATACAAATTTATTTTCAGGAGATGGTGCTAATGAGGACCTGGACAATGAAATATTGAGGAGAGATAGGATTTGAGTTTGATGTCCTGAATGTGAAGGGACAATCATTAATGAAGTACTTACTGATTCCTTACAATGTGCTTGGTATTATCTTGGGTGCAGGGATAAAATGGTATGCAAAAAGCCAGACATGATGTCACACACCTGTAATTCTAGCATTCTGGGAGGCTGAGGCAGTAGGATCACAAATTCAAGCCCAGCTGTGGCAATTCAGCAACTTAATAAGACCCTGTCTTAAAAATTACAAAAGAAGATCATACTGTAATGAATTTATATTGTGGGATAACACATCCAGTTAATTTTACAAAGTATAAAACTTTTGTAACATGAGAAAAAAATCTGTGGCAGTAGTATATTACGGAGGAATTAAAGAAGAGAAAGCTTTTTGGAGGAAGTCATGCTTAGTGTGAAATTGTATGGATAAAGAAAAATAGGTAATGGTGAGAAGGGAAAGGAAGGGGAGGTGAGGGAAAGGGGAGGGAGACTTCCAGATAGAACAGTTAAGTCAGCACCTTACCTGACATTGTAGGCCATGCTTCCTTTGTCAGACCTTTTGATTACAAATATGAGACCTGGTGGCA